GGGGGGTGGTGGTAAAGAAGGGGGTGGTTTCTTCATCCTCCGCTTTCTTCCCGGCTCCGTGAATGAGAGGCTTGGTCGTCCGGTTCCCATCAGGGCTCCGGCAATCGGGGGGTTGGAGAAGAAAGGGGAGGGGGGGAAGGTCTTTCCTTTAAAAATAAACTCTTTTCTTTCCCGTCGTGAAAAAAGGGATGCAAGCAAGCAGACATGAGGCTGGGTTAGCCCCCGGGGTTTAACTCCTCATTGCTTCTTGGCGGTGCTTCTAGGCAAAGAGAGCGGAGTCCCCAACCCCCAAAATTTCTGGTCATACCCAGCATCTCCCCGTCCCCAGGAGGGTTGACCAGCTCTTCCGCTGGACCCTCGGTACAGCAAATGCCCCAGTGGGCACAGGCAGCCGCAACGTCCCCTCTTGGGGCTGCCCCACTTGCTCCCGGGGCAGACAGCTGCGAGAAGATGCACATAGCCCAGCTCCACAGGACAGCAGAGACCCCCACACCGCAGAGTCACCGACCCCTCTTCCCTTGGCCAGGAGCAGTTGTTCAGTCTCCAGTGGCTGAGAGACAAGAGGCAATGGAGAAGCAAGACCTTCTGCTCCGTTGACGATCACCCCTCCTGCCTGATGCCAAGGCAGGGACCGGAGCAAGAACAAATGAATCTGGAAAGATGGGGTGGGTGGTAGAGGCTGGAGAGGACAATTGAGCTATACCTTCAGTTTGACCATCATGCCTGACCATTCATGAGTTCCTCATTTGTCCTGGAGGGTGGTCTGGAGAAGGAGAGATACCCAGTGCCATGGGATATGTCCTGCTCTGCTTTCCTGAGTCCTGGGATAGCGGCAGGAGTCCCACTACTTCATCGAGAAAAGGGAATGAGCCACTGGGACTGGTACGAAGGAGAGCATTTGTCCAGAGAGATTCCCACCTTACACATGTGTCCTCAAAGGGTTTTGTCTGCAGCCCAAGAGGAGGTTGAGATTGTATGGGGAGAGGGAATAGTGCCCTAAATGCATCTCACACAAACCCCCTTATGTCCAGAAGGGCTGACAAGGCTTGTCTGAACCAGTTTTGGAGAAATTCAAGGTTAGTTTTTCTCCTTTTACCACAGTGTTGTGCAGAGGAAGTGTACAAAGCCTCAGCAGTGAGGCTTGCCGTCTACACATGGCGAGGCAGGAAAGGCCAGGCTAGCAAGGAGCGGAGTTAATTCTGACAAACGCCTTCCCATGACTTAATGTGAACTGTAGTGTAGGAATTTGCATCAGAAAGCCTCAGAAACATGTCTGCAACTCTTTATAGTGACTGCTTGAAAGCACAGAGTTGCATTTCTGTCAATTGTTCCACTGCACAAGGTTTAAGGATCCACAACCCAAGGCAGAGCAGATCCAGTCTGTTGAGTCGGGACATTGCCCAGGAGGTACACGTGTCGGGTAGGGACTGACCCATGCAGAGGAACTGGAGGGACTGGTGCCAGGGGTGTGGCAGTGGTAGGGAGGCTGCTGCACACTGTCTACATTCACAAGGGAGAAGGGGATCAGCCTGTCTTCAACACCCTTGCTAGCAAGTAAGCAATCATGGATTTACCCTCTTTAAGGAGAAAAGACCAACAAGCTCTGCGAAAGGTGAGATAAGGATTTCACCCAGCGGTCTGGTTCTCTTCACACCCAAGCCACAGCTCACTCAAACCTGATCTGATTTAAGCCACCAGGTCTCCATTTCCCCCTGCTTGGCTGTCATCTCTTCCACTTCCCACTCCTCCGACTTGGCACTGGGGGCTGCCTTGGGAAGTGAGGGTTTTGGGCTTCTCTCAATCTTGCTGTCAGCATAACTCTGGGGACAGAGTAGCTGGAACAATAAAAGTGAGAGGCACCAAAAGAAAACTCCTCCTGCCTCTTCCTAACAGTTGTACCAGGGCCTGCCAAAACGGTGCCCAGAGCGATGCCATCAGACACACCTATTTCTCTAGGTTTTTCTTTGGCTCTGGATTTACACCTTCCTGGAGGAGGGGGGATTGTGGATCACACTTTCTTTTGAGGGAGCCTGCCAGAGGCACTGCTCTCGCCAGCATTTTGTGCCTGGTGAAGGGTGCCTGCAGGTTCTGCCACATACCGAGATAGGTACATTTTGGGAAAGGAGCTGCCTGAGAAGAAAGCAGACCCTGGTGAAAGCCTCTTGTTAAAGGGTGGTTTAAGAGTTCTGCTTATGACTTCATCTTTGAAAGGTTTGGACAGCAAATGCAGAGTCTAATCTTTTTTTCTTTTTTTTCTTTTTTTCTTTTTTTTTTTTTTTTTAAAAAAAAGGGGGGGGGGAAGAAAAATAAAGAATAGTGGCTGGAGATGCGTAAAACTTGGGTGGAGAAGCTTGGCTCGGGAGGCTGCCGATGCAAGACTGCCTGTGAATTGGCACCGGCCAGGGAAGTTTGGAACAAGCACCAGTATATTCTTTCATTGCAACCTCGGCTGAGATTGGGGAGGCAAAAGGGAAAAAAGGATTTCGGTCCCAGTCACTTTCCCCGTTTCAACCATCTTCGGGAGCCAGGGCGGAGAAGGTCTCTCCATTCTCTTCCCGGTTAATTGTTTAATTGGGGAACAATGCGCCCTTTGCCCCCGCCGATGCCGGGCGAGCAGAGGGGTCCGACCCGTCGCACGAGCTGCGGCTCTCCCGTTACTGTCGGGGCCGCTCCCCGGCCGGGGTCTGGGGGTCCCCGAGGAGGGGTCCCCGAGGAGGGGCAGGCGGGAGGGGGGGGATCGG